AATTATTCTCCAACAGCGTTTCCATGATACGTTCTTGGTCCACATGAGACATTGATCCTATGTTAGTATATTCTTTAATGAATGACTCCAAATTTTCGAAATTATTTTCCAAATTTAAATTGGGTGTGGAATGTTTAAATGGTTGGTCGCAACTAGCGGCAACACCGCTTTTGTCCTCTCTGTTCTCAGCGTAGAAGTTGAAATTCTCCCGTTTGATAGATGACAAGTCTTCTCCAAAATTTGCATCCTTTGTAACTAACTTTTTGCTTTCCCCATTCTGTTGCTCAGCATGCATATGCTGTCTGAATTTTACATCAGACATCTTGACATCGTCCATCATATGGCCCGTGCTGCTCTCTTTCAGCTGATCATTTTGAGGGGGCTTCTCAGCTTTCACAATAGGCCTGCTTTCTTCAAGATCGGCGTCTTTTCCAACAACCTCCTTGACTCCCTTCAGCAGATCGCTACCAGCAGGCTTCTCAGGACCAACATTTTTCTTCATTGCTGCAGGACTGACATCATTAGCAATCTCATTGACTTTCTTCGCCTGATCAATGCACGTAAGCTTCTCAACTTTAACACAGGGCTTGCTTTCTGCAGGGCCGGCGTCTTTTGCAACAGCCTCCTTGTCTTCTTTCGGCTCGTCGCAAGAAGCAGGCTCCTTGGGTTCAGTACTTGGCTTGCTTTCCACAGAATCCTTGATTTCCTTCGGCTGTTTAGTTTCCAGAGGTTTCTCGGAGGTAACGCCGGGCTTTCTTGCTTCTGGACCGACATCTCTCGCGACATTTTCATTCGCCTCTGGCTGCTCACCACGCGTTGGTCTCCCAGGTTCAGCGGTATGCTTAATTTCTGCAGAATCCTCGACGGCCTTCGGTTCATCAGGGGCTGGCTTCTTGGGTTCAACAGTACGCGTGTTTTCTGCAAAATTCTTCACATCCTTCGTTTCACCAGGCGTTGGTTTCTTGGATTCAGCAGTATGCTTGCTCTCTGATGAATCCTTGACATCCTTCGGCTGTTCAATGGAAGGAGGTTTCTTGGATTTAACGCCGTGTTTTATTTCTCGTGGAACGACATCTCCTGCAACAATTTCATTTGCTTCCTTTGGCTGGTCACTACTCGTTGTCTTTTCAGGTTCAGCAATATGCTTGCTTTCTGCTGGGTCCTTGATTTCCTTGGGTTCACTAAACATTGGCTTCTCGGGTTCAGT